AAACGGGACCATCTGAAAGCTCCTGAAGAAATGTTTTGATCAACACAAATTCACTCACAGGTTTCTCTACCATGCAACTTGCAAGGTTACGTACGTGTTGGTCGTAGGTGTGAACCTTACGCCTACCCTGTATGATTTTAAGGAGCTCTTAAAGAGTCCTGAACTTTTCTCTGCGCGGTGTAAACGTATCGCTGAGTAGGGTCTTGAGGTTGTTAAACGACCAAAACACATCTGGGTCGTGCAGGTTGAGATATGAATCCCAATTTATGGCCTCCCCTGAGAGTTATGAATGAGAAAATGCAACTTGAATCAGCTCATCGTCGATACGACGGGCCTTGATGGCACCGTCTTTATCGATTTATTATCTATACAGGAAATCTTTCTCGAATCCCTGTTATTTAAGATTCTTTATGTTAAGTCTCCCGTCAACGGTCATGCGTCGAATTCGGAATGAGACTGTTGATGTCTTATATTTACAGTTCGCTGATGATCTTGTTGTCGCAACAAGGTCACATCCGCTTGCGACTCACCAAGCCCTCGTTGCAAGAACTTGCTGATGACAACATGCTGATGGTATCTGTCCCTATGGATAGCATGGCTCAGACAGCTTCTTCGCCAACGGTCCAACTCATTCGTTCGATCGCACTCCATTCGATGTCGCTCAAATATAAGTATCTTTCACAAGTTTCGTAAAAGCTATCGCCTTCTACATCGTCCAATATATTCGTGTTGGGCGATGCGCTAGTGGTCCTTGGACGGACTACCAAGTACTACCAGGTGTAACGTAGCGCTGCTTAGTTCGAACTGAAACACCGAAACGGAGTAAGCCCTCACTGACAACATTGAAGGTCAGTGCTCTGCTAGAAATATGCACTATTCAGAGTAAGGGTAAATCTACGAAGGCAAGACTCTAGTTGTGAAAAAGAAAGACTATTATCGTACAATTAAGTCGTATAACTCTTGTTCTCTGATTTGATCTGACTTAATTAAATTAATATAACTAAACGGGTGATGACGTCTACCCAACACTCATTGCCAGGCCTCCCTATAAACGGATCCAAAAGACTCGATCCATAAATATCCGTTAATAAAGTCCGAGGTGGCGCCATAAAAAAGGATTAAATTATAGTTGTTCGAAGACTACCACTTGCTCCTCCCTTTGCTTCCCTCTCGCCTTTCCTGCGGTATCACACTCTGTTCTCTCAAAATGCTACCAGCTGCAGCTCCTCTTCCCAATATGCCCCGCCAAACTCCTTTCAACTTAGCCCACGAAATCGACGACGGTCTTACCGTCGCAGGCCGGCACTCGGGCTCGTCAAATGTGGTCTCGGTGAACTGCCATTTTTCATCCACTTCGGCCGTGAAGACACCGCAGTTGCCGAACCCATACGCCGCAAAACGGAGAATGTTAAGACGTTCACGGCACCGTTCAGTACGGACAACTACGTCCAGAATATGCGCGGGTAGTATAAATATCGTTGGGAGCAGTTAAAGGTTCTGGTAAGGGATTATAAGGTTGCGTATTTTCAAAAAAATGCTTTGGTCCGTTATGCCGACGCCATTCCTTCTCATTTCGCTGGTAAACAGACATCACTGCAACTACATGTGAATAATGTTATTGTTGACGATATCATCGGGGCTCTGTTATTGGACCAGGACGACGACGACGGTCTTCCAACTGCCTACAGGGAAAGAGCGCTGAGGATCTTTCAGAAAGTAGACCTAACCACAGTGCAAGACCCGCATTTGGCAGAGACTAAGTACGAAATCTACATCTCAAACCCTCGCCAGTTCAACCTGGTCGCCAAGTTTCTTATCACTGAAGTCTCATTTCGCCAAGCAGAAACTCTGGTTACAATGAAGAAGGAAGTCAGCGGCGTTGCAGAGATAATCACTGCCAAGGATAAAAAGAACATTTAATACGCGCGTTTTATATTGGCATTAAATTTGCAACACATCCAGGACATTTTGGAGAAGAGCTAAGCATTCTCTATCGCTTTAGATAAGTCCACTCACATGTCGACGTCTTACCTCGATATCCGCGCCTTTGACTCTTCTGGCATGAAGAGATCCTGGACCTGCACCTGATTGGGATCCCGGTTTTCGGCAGGCAAAATGCAGCAGAGGTGTACCGCCACGCTTCGGCAGTACGAAATGTGCTCTGCCCCCATTAGAGGAACATGTTGATTTTAATCCTAACGAATGGCGAACAAAGAATGACGGGATGCATTGCTGGGGTCTCAACGTTGTTTGACCAAGCCGCACTTCCTAATTTCTATCGCATCTGGTGTATTTAACATCAGCTGGACTTGAAGTTGCGAACGTTTTACGAAGATTTGATGGCCGAGAAATTCGTGTCACTTCTCACAGCGCTCATCGGATACCTGCACCGGCAACAAAACTTGATTAACGACATAGGTACGAAATGCCGGACGCTCGCTGAAACAAGGTGGGAATCCATGTAAAAGTTAGCTATCTGGTTAAAATGCACCGTGTAGCTATCATGGATAATCTCCGGGCGAAGGATCCTTCTTGTAAGTCGTCTCATGGATAATAAGTTGTCTTAATGTTCGTAAAAGATGTGTCCGCAGCCGCAACAGCCGCGTTTAAGCTGCTGCAACGGAACGACACTTTGGTATCCGAGAAGCGCTTGCGATCTTGCAGATTTCCTACCAAGAAATGGTCAACGCGAACGGGCCATTAACATCCGGACAGCGGGAGGATTTTAAACGCAGACAGCAATGTGGCCTCTTTTGACGGTTTATGTGCGGCCCAGACCGCCGATGTGATACCATTTCTAGACAAATATGGCCTTTTTCGTGCTGGATCGCACGCAAGATGCCGGGCAAGTCGCGATGGATAACTTGGCACGAAACTTGGGCAAGGAACTACTGAACCAGATTGCTGTATTGAAGCAGGTAGTAGCTGAACGAAACTAAAAAAGTAGGGCTTACCTGGATCATTTGCCACCAGTTTTACCGCATGAGCTTTTTATGTTGAACGAAATGACTTCACTTCGATTTTGCGCGCGCAACGCGAATGTTTGAAGGCTCGTTGTGCCCCTGTATCTGTGCAAGCGACAATGAATGCATCGAAATTTAGTTTTTCGATCTAAAGAAAGCTTACCGCGATGAAGAGTCGTTCCGTAACGCGATCGATGCATGCACTTACTAGACGCCTTTCAAAAAGGCATAAGAAATCACCACGTGCCTTTTTAAAAACTTAAAGAAGTTTTGCGGTGGGCTCGCAAGCAAATTCCCAGGGACGTCATCCCTAGAAAGCGACATTTTTATCCTCAAATAGGTGAAACATTTACGCCGCATGAGCTTAACGGACTTCTCCCTGGAATGCGTGATGCATGCACGGCAGTTCAAGCGCCTACAAATCCTCACATTCTGATTATCCGCGTTCTGTTGCTATGAATTTTTTGTAAACGTATCCTTTCATTTATTTCATTCTTTGCCACTTTCTTTTTGTGTTGTCTCGGGAAAAACTTAAGTGCCAATATAGACCACCAGATTCTTAAAAAGTGATTTTTGTAGGCAAGAAGCGTGTTGCGAGAAGGAAGCGGTAGGTGAGCAATTAGATTCTGTAAAGCTTCTTGTAAGTTCTCTCTTTTCTGCCGTGCTCGCCAAAGCTCTATGCTTCAGTCATCTGCTCGCACGCATTCTGACTCTACCTGAATACAATTACTATTCTGCTTGTCACTATGCGTTCACCTTTTGCGCACAGCGAGTTTATGACATCATGGTCCCAAATAAACCCCAAGTCACCGGCCGACCACTCCGATCGCCTTTTCGTACACTCGCACCCATTTCCAACATTTCCAACAATTTTGACGTTCCTTGCCCTGTACATAAGGGCCGTGAATAGCCGTGTCCAGGGTCGGACCTTGCGCTGTATAGCCTTAGTTAGGGCTAATACGGATCGTCCGTATATAGGGAGGCCTGCTTATTGCGCGCGTCTAGCAGCGATTGGTGGGTTGATATAATGGTTGTATCAACAAATGAGTAGACTTTCGGCTCATCTCAACAATATCACCGTATGTAGTGATATTGTTAAACGAATATTCAACATAATTTTCGTAATTATTATTTCACACAATGGTAATTTCATGAAACGGGCTACCATCACACATGGTGCTTTGTCGGAATAGCTCTTGTGTCTCAGACTGAGGAATGCGCTAATATAATATCTACTACATTAACGAATTACTTGGGTTCGTTGTGTATCAAGCACGTTCGCTACAAAGATACCGTTCTTTGGGGTCTTTTATATGGCAATATTTCTGTGGTGGTATGGCCAAATCCTAAAATGTGCTGAGAAGTCGGTGCTCCTTCTATTAGGATGGATGATCGATGTGCTTTATCGAGCGTTTAGCGCATTCTATAACATTCACCGCATTGCAAGCGACTTATGAGCGGCGCGTGTCACCAACACGTCGTTCCATGACCATAGTACAACAAAAAGTGCAAAGCTTCCAGGACGCAATATCAATCTTATTCGTCGAAAAGCATGTGCATGCATTGTCGCGACGCTTTGTAACGTCTTTCTTCATTTGATGTGCCTGCTCAAAATCGTTCGTCCTTGATGTGGTTGCTCCCCGCTCGATTGCACTGTCTTGCTACGCAGCAAGCTATGGTGCAAGTGATCCCATGACGTTCTGACGTGCTAATGTTGCACTGTCCAAACGCGATGCTGTCTCAACCTGCCCGCCCCACTTTTGCCCAATCACGACCGCAACAACACGCTCTCGCGGCCTACCTATCCCATATTCACGTCAAGTACGAGCTGCGGGATCTTGCCGCGCTGTGTCACGCGCTAATTGGCTGAAACGCGCCCATCCGCGTCGACCATTGGCCGCCTCGAGTCGCCTGCCAACCCGACCACGACGTCACTTCCCCCTCCCCACCGAACAAGCACACAGTCCGTTGTCGCGGATCGTCCCGCTAGGCTGAGGAGAACGCACGCACGCACGCGCGCAGCTGATCGAGAGAAACATGTCGCTGCTCAAGGAGATCCAAGCGAACGCCGCCGTGGCCTGGAGCCCCATGAAGTGGCGTCCGGAGCTCCTGGCGCTCGGCTCCAAGGGCGACGGCGGCGTCGGGTTCGAGGACAATGGCGGCGAGTTCCAGCTCGTCTCGATGGACCTCAGCAGCCCAACCCCTACCATGATCACGCTCGGGTCGATCAAGACACCGTCACGCTTCACGTCGCTGGCCTGGCGCGACGTCCCCCGCCATCACGACACGTGCCCCTATGGCATTATTGCTGGCGGAATGGCCGACGGTTCAGTGTCGCTCTGGAATCCCGCGCTGGTGTTGGACCGAGAGCCAGGCAGTGACACGCCTGCGTCCTGTGAGATTGGCCGCATCACGCGACACAAGGGCGCGGTCAACGCCCTGCAGTTCAATCCACACGAAGACAGTGCGCACTTGTTGGCTTCAGGCGGTAGTGACGGTGAAGTGTTCATCATGTCACTGGAGAAGTTGGCCAGTCCTGGTGTGTTCACGCCGGGAGGTCCAGTGGTGACCCCGCAGACGCAGGTCAATGAGATCACGAGTGTGGCGTGGAACACACAGGTGAACTACATTCTAGCTACGGGCTCGCAAAACGGCACGGTGGTTGTCTGGGACCTCAAACAGAAGAAACCGTGGTGTGAATTGCGTGATCCTGCGCGTGGCGCGACGACAGCTCTGGCTTGGAACCCCAACGAGGGGTTGCAGATTGCAACTGCTTCGGGAGATGACCAGCAGCCTGTTGTGAAGCTGTGGGACCTGCGTAATTCGACGAGCACACCATTGGCTGAATTCCATGACCATACTGCGGGCGTCTTGTCCATGTCGTGGTGCCCAAATGACCCTGGGCTCTTGCTGTCGTGCGGCAAGGATAACCGGACGCTGCTGTGGGACCTCTTCTCGCGCAAGACGGTTGCAGAACTCCCTTCAGATGCTCCCGATGCTCCGGCTATGGGCTCGGACCAATTCTTCGGTGGTGTTCTTGCTGGCCAGCGTCGTTGGAACGTCCAGTGGTCCCCTCAGATTCCTGCTGTTGCTTCGACGTGCTCGTTGGATGGCAAGGTGCAGATTTGGAGCCTTGCTGCTGGTGGCAACCCAGACTGCCGTCCGCCTAAGTGGATGCGTCGCCCAGCTGGTGCATCCTTTGGATTCGGAGGAAAGCTGGTAACGATAGCTAACCCACAGGAAACTACGAACTACAATGGAGACCGTCGTCGCCTCGTTCATATGCAGCGCGTGATCAGTGACACAAAGTTAGTGGCAGAGGCAGAGGCTTTGGACCGCTCGCTGGAATCAAAGGATTTTCGAGGTTATTGTGAGCAAAAAATCGCGACTGTCGCGACTGCTGAAGAGCGTAGTGTGTGGAACTTTATGAAGATCCTGTTTGAGAAGGACGCCCGCCAACATTTGCTACTTCATCTCGGGCTGGACGCAGAAAAGATCAATGAACTAAACGCCAAGTTTAACCCCGAAGCAGCAGCTTTGCCTGCTGATACGACAGCGTATGCCCCCGAAGCGCAAGTGGATCCCATAACGGGCGCGTTACTCAGCAGTCGGATCGATGTGCGTATTGTCGCGTAGTGGCGATACATATGAGGGATCTTTCACGTGACTCACTCTTGTTGTGTACTGTTCGCGTGTTAGTCTGGCATGGGAGCTGAAGACGTATTCTCGTCGGGCTTCCACCCCAATGGTGGTGACGAGACTACAGGTGCTAAACCAGCGTCGCCGTTGTCGAGTGTTTCCGCTCTGGCTGCTGCGTTACCTTCTGTCTTAGATGAGGACAGAAGCAAGCGTCTAGATGTAGCGCCTACTCCCGTGTACACAGAAGAGTCTGAGAGCACGCTGATGCAGGCACTGCTGGTCGGCAACTTTGAAGTGGCTGTCAACTGCTGCTTGGCGTACAACCAGCTCGCTGACGCGCTATTGCTCGCTTCTTGCGGCGGACCCGAGCTCTGGGAGAAGACTCAGCGCACATTCTTTTCGCACCAAAAGCGTCCGGTGATGCGAGTGGTGGCGGCAGTCATCAAGAATGAGCTAAGCGAGCTCGTGGAGATGTCCGACCTTACCGAATGGCGCGAGACTCTGGCGATCTTGAGCACGTACGCTAAAAGTGAAGAGTTTCCATCACTTTGCGACAAGCTGGCTACTCGACTCGAGGCCGCTGGTGACCTGCACTCTGCAACACTGTGCTTCATGTGTGCCGTGAACGTTACCAAAACCGTAAACGCGTGGTGCGAGGAAAGCAAAGTTGAGGCTCGCGTGTACGGACACACTTTTGCACTGCACCGCCTTGTCGAGAAGGTGTCTGTGTTCACTATGGCTGTTGACCAACCCGACCAATCGATGGGCCCCGAGGTGGCTCAGCGTTTTGCTGAATATGCTTCTCTGGTACGTGGCAAGCACAGTATGAGTTGTAACTGTATGCTAGATTTGACTCGTTGATCGCAACATCGTTGTCATGGTTATTTAGATGGCTGCGGAAGGCCGACTGGATATTGCCGCAAAGTACGCGCGCTTCCCGGACCTCAGTTGCGCGATCTTGAAAGACCGCATTTTCAACGCGTACCCAATGCAGGGGTACCAGCCTCCTCCGTTCCCGTTCGATGTCGTTCGGATCGAATCGCAGGCTCAAATTCAGCAGCGGCAGCAGCAGCAGCAACAGCAGCAGCAACAACAGGCTTCTGCGATGCAGCAGCGAGGGTACGGCAACAAACCGGCCTATGGGGCAGGAAGAAATCAGTTTGGTGCTTCTGCTGCTCCGATGCCTACGCCTGCTCCGGCCCCAATGCCTACATCAGGTGCTTTCGGTGGTGTCCAAGGCACGGGCTACCCACCTCAGCAACATGCGCCGGTGCAATCGCCGGCCTTCCCCGGTCATCCTAGTAGCTTCCAGCCGGTCGTCAAGCAGCCACAGTATCCTAGTACCCCAGGCGTGCCTCCGCAGCTGCAACAGTCCGGAAGCTACCCAACCCAGCAGCAGTCAGCGTACCCAGGCCAGTCTGCACAGTCTCCGTACGCACCAAGCGTGGCGCCGACACCGTTCCCAGGTCAATCTGCGCCCCCTGCGTTCCCGGGTCAGGCAAGACCGCACCTGACGCCGCCGCAACAGCCTGGATACGCACCTCCAGCGCCAATGCAACAGCCTGGGTACGCACCTCCGGCGCCACCGCAACAGCCTGGGTACGCACCCCCGGCGCCACCGCAACAGCCTGGGTACGCACACCCGCCGCAAGCAGCGTTTCCAGGCCAGCAACCACCCCAGCAAAGTTTCATGTCGGGTCCTCCATCGTCATCAGGCAGCCGTTCGCACCAGCAGATGTACTCTGGACCTCCGTCAGCGGGGGGCACCCCCCACATGCGTGCTGCTCCGTCGCCTTCTTATGGTGGCGCACCTCGTCCGGGAACGGGTTTTGGTGCTCCTGCTGGTGCATCTTTTGCTGCCCCTGCTTCACCATCCATTCCTCAGAGTACGGGAGTGCATCCACTCACCGCTGCTATGGGATCGTCGCGCATTGCCAAGCCGTCTGTTGATATGACGTCGCATCAACGAGACGGCTTCGTGAGCAGTGTGGGCAACAAGGAACTGGCGCTCAAGTATGGAAACGCCTCGACAGCTGCGCTCTCACCTGTTGCAACGAAGGCCGGTGGGTTTCCACCGAACGTTGTGCCGGGCAGCACCGAGAATGTCGGCCCTCAGGACCTCCCGATCGTGAACGCGTTCAACGACCTTGTGAACAACCTCCAGGCTCTTCCACTCACTATGGTACGTTGACATGTCGAAAGGTGCGCGAATCAGGACAATGGCACTGACTGGTCGTTTGGTTTGTAGATGGAGCAAAAGCAGTTGCAAGAGATTCAAAAGGGTAAAGAGATTATGTTCACGAAGCTCAACATCGGCGATCTGACACCGCAGGTTGTGTCCCGGCTACACGAGATGGTGGCGTGCTTTGGGCGACGCGATTTCGGTAGCGCACAGACCATCTACGTAGCTCTCACGGCTTCGGACTGGGCGCAGCACAAGGATTGGCTGCGTGGCCTCAAGTCGCTCATCCATATCTCCATGAAGCGCTTTAGATAAGCATTCCGCCCATTTAGCGGGAGAAGTGAGAGGGCAGCAGAGCAGTCAGTAAGCGGCGGACGCAAGTCGCAAAGTGAAGTAGTTGCAGTGTGAGCTTGTGCGTGTGCAGACAGAACCAGGTTGTTGTTGAGGTATACTGCATGTGTCCGACACTCGTATTGCACGTCACGCGTATGGCTGAAAACAGAACTACCAGCACAAAGCACAAGCTGCAAGTGCAATGTGGCAGTGCAGTCCATCGTAGTCGCTGGCATTGTGTCCTCGCAGCCAACAAAAACGTTGCGGAGGCTCACACGTCGGGCGTAGCCCTGCGTGATAGAGTGTGGAAGAAATGAGTGACAGTGACAAGTTGCTGCTCTTCCATGAGGTAGGTCAGTGCGTCTGCCCTAGTAACCTGCTAGGGCTACTACCATCACGACGAACGTCGGCACTTGACGGTGGCGACTGATCGGCGTTTACGATGGCGAGAAGGACTTGCACATATTGCTCTCGAGGCGGTTCATGAACGCATTTTCGCGGATCTGCGTATCATTTCGACATGTGTGTGGGTTGGTAACGTTGCGCAAGACGCGTTCCTCGAACACGTGGCGTACGAAAAAAACGATCTCAAACGAAACGTATCGATTTTTCTGGTGCGATGCTGTACTACAGGTCGAAAGAGTTCACGTTGACTCACCTCCTTGATCGCTACCATTTGCCACGTGCTCAAACCTCAATAGCAAATGGATCCAAGTTTGTCTGCGCTTGTTCGAGCATTTTGCGAAACTGCAGTTATTCGGGCGGTTCAATAACGCCCACGTGATCAGCTCAGTATCGAGTGCAACCAGACGTGAATAACGCTCGCACTTTTTGGACGGCCGCAAACGTACCTATCGCCACAAAACACTCTTTCGTTGTAGGCGTTCGTTTGACTTGTGCGACTTTGTCTGATTGTCTATCTCTTTTTATGAAACAATGGCTTCTTTCGCGCAATCAGCTATGCTGAATGGCAAAGAAATGGTCGATCAGATGAGCCACGTCCTCATCGTTCTAGCTGCGAAATATGTATCTTAGAATCACTGCATACTGTCGCAGATGTACAATAGCACGCTGCCATCAATCGCTCCGCCAGCCTCTTCTCTCAACACATCCCATGCATGCGAGCTCGCTGCCTCGTTCTCATTGGCTCAAACCACCGAACGAGTGGAGGATGGCAACAGAAGTAGCAGCAGCAGCAGCAGCAAGAAGAGACACAACGCGCTCACCACTTTGGCGTCTGAACCCGCCCGCACCCTCTGCATTTGCGCGCGTTGCCTTTGGGACCGCAAAAAAAAAACAGATTGCTACCAAAAGGAAACCTCAACAACAACAACAACAACGACGACGCCACCAGAGAAAGAACGACCATCACTCTGACCGCGCCGCCTCAGTCCATGACGCGCCCCCAGCCGCTCGACGACGTCGCGCCGCCGCCGCCTCTCCTGGCGTCCCTGTCGTTCCCGTGCTCGCCGCCGCCGCAAGTGTCCAAGTACGTGGTCGGCGTGTGCGCCATGGAGAAGAAGACGCGGTCCAAGCCCATGCAGGAGATCCTCCACCGCCTCGCGAAGAAGCGGCAGTTTGACGTGCTCGTGTTTGACGACGACACGATCCTCCATCGCCCGCCGCACCTGTGGCCCGTGTGCGACGCGCTCATTACCTTTTACTCGACGGGCTTCCCGCTGCAAAAGATCGAAGAGTACGTGCGCCTCGTGCGCCCTGTACTGGTGAACGAGCTCAGCATGCAGCACGTGCTCTTTGACCGCCGCAAAGTCTACGCGCTGCTCACGCGGCACGGCATTCAGGTCCCGCGCCACATCATTGTGAACCGCGACGTGCCGGACGGCGGGCCGCAGGACGAGCTCATTGAACACGACAACTACGTCGAGATCAACAACGTGCGGATCAACAAACCGTTTGTCGAGAAACCGGCGGACGCAGAGGACCACAACGTGTACATTTACTACCCCACGAGTGCCGGGGGAGGCAGCAAGCGCTTGTTCCGGAAGGTGGGCGACCGCTCGAGCGAGTTTTACCCCGACGTGAACCACGTGCGACGGGACTCGTCGTACATCTATGAAGAGTTTCTGAACACGCAGGGGACCGATGTCAAGGTCTACACCGTCGGCTCGAGCTACGGCCACGCCGAAGCGCGCAAGTCGCCGGTGCTGGACGGCCGCGTGGTGCGTGACTCGGCTGGAAAAGAAGTGCGGTATCCCGTGATACTGAACGCGACGGAGAAGGAGATGGCGCGGAAAGTGTGCTTGGCGTTCCATCAGACCGTGTGTGGACTGGATCTGCTCCGTGTGCGCGGGACGTCGTACGTCTGTGACGTGAACGGCTGGAGCTTTGTGAAAAACTCGAAGAAGTATTACGACGATTGTGGGCTGATCTTGCACAATTATCTGGTCTCGGCACTGCGGTCGAGGTACTTCCGTCAACGTCGAGCGAACTCGCTCAACTCAATGGGCACGCAAATGTGCCCACAGTACGCAACGGAGCCCAGTCTCTTGGATGGCGGAACTCAGGAATGGCCGCATCCTCGACCGAGCTCGAACTCGGACGTGTCGGAATCGAGTCTAGCCAGTAGTACCGGCTTGCCGCTCGATGACGAGAAGCGCGAGGAGTTGCGCTGTGTCATTGCCGTGGTACGCCATGGCGACCGCACGCCGAAACAGAAGCTGAAAACTCATGTATGGGAGAGAGACCTTGTGGCCTTCTATGAGAAACGGCAGAACGGAGACAAGTACGACGAGGTGAAGGTGAAGTCAGTTGCAGACCTTCAGGAGCTGCTAGACTTGGTGCGTAGTCTGATCAAGGCATATGCTCCCGGCGTTGGCTCGAAAGATGCTGTGTGGGAAACGGACGGTGGCGACAGTTTTGAGAAGCTGCTTCAGATGAAGCGCGTGTTAGAGCGGTGGAAATTTGCAGGCATCAACCGCAAGGTGCAGTTTAAGCCTCACAAGAACTTTGCGACTGCTGCTGCTGCGTACGCAGATGCCCCAGAAGGATCTGAGAGGCCGAAGGTGCTCATGATATTGAAGTGGGGAGGTGATCTCACCGAACGAGGCAAGCAGCAGGGCGAAGCTCTGGGTCAGTCGTTTCGAAATAGCCTCTACCCTGTCGACGTGGAAGAAGGAGGTCTGCTTCGCTTGCACTCGACGTTCCGCCACGACTTGAAGATCTTTACGTCAGACGAAGGTCGTGTGCAAATGACTGCGGCTGCGTTCGCAAAAGGTTTCTTGGAGCTCGAAGGCGACCTTACACCAATCCTTGTAAGCCTCGTCACCACGCTCGGAAAAGGTATGCTTGTTTTCGTTTCGCGACGGGTTTGCAGAGGTGCAAAGGTGCTGACTTTGTTTGACCACTCTTGGTCCGTATCCAGATGCCAACAAAATGCTGGATCACTCTGGTCAAGCTGACGCTACGGACGAGATGCAGACCATCAAAGCCAAGCTGACGACGCTGCTGCAGCGTGACTACTCTTCCATTGACGAAATGAATGCTGCAATCGCACCGTTACAGACCCAGTCGATATTGCAAGCGCTCGACATTATAAAGAGTCCGAAAGAGGCTTTGGTCCGTCTGCTGGAGCTGGTGCGCAAGCTCCGAGGTGAAATTGCTGAGCGCGTGCATGACAAACGTGAGTCATTGCTCGCCGTTGCATGGTATTTTGACATTCTTCTAACACTTGCCGTTTTTCGTACTTGCATACAGAGGCCGATGAGGTGACTCCTTTGTACATGGGCGAAACGTTCTCGCTGATGTTCGAGCGCTGGGATAAGATATTCCGTGACTTCTACTCGACCAAGACGGACACGTTCAACCTGAGCAAAATTCCCGACGTGCACGACTGCATCAAGTATGACTTGCTCCATAATTCGAGCGTTGACTGGAAGTGTGGTTCCGATCTTTACAAGTTGGCTGAAGCTTTGGCGCGATGTTATGTCTCGCAAGAGTATGGCATGGACATTGCTGAGAAACAATCGATTGGCAACCGCGTTTCGCAGGCGCTCTGTGCAAAGATTCGCGCCGACATTGTCACGGTCATGTCATCTTCCACCCGTGGACAGCCTCCGTCCCCGTCGTCGAGGAGTTTGTATGGAAACGGCGACGATGCTGCAGACGAAAATATCGATGACATTGCAGACCAGGATATCGAGCATCACGGCTATCGCTTGGATCCTTCTTACGCGAAAGAGCTGCGAATCAAGAGCCCGGACACGCAAATTCGCACGCGCCTTTATTTCACTAGCGAGAGTCATATGCACACGCTTCTGAATGTGCTGCGCTTTCAGTGCCCCTCTTGGCGCGCGCGAATTCACAATCGCGACGAATACGACGAGTACGACATCTCACTCGAGCAAGAAGAGTTCAGCAACGAGATTCTGAAGCGCATGGGTATCAGCGTGAACGACCACATGACGCAACGCAAGTACGTGTTCTGCGAGTCCAAGCTACTCTCGGAAAGCAGCCAGCGTGCACTAGACCGTATAGCGGAAATCAATTACCTCGCGCACATCGTTATTCGCGTGTTTGAAACGCTATCGCTGCCGGAAGACAGCGAGGAACGCTTTCGCGTGGAGATCTCGTTCTCTGCGGGCGTAAATGACGGGCTAGCGGACTCAGCTGATGGCGGCGATAGAGTGCACGACACGATTTACCTCACGAAGAACATGACGGGCGTCATGTTGGAAGACATGCTGGCAGCTTGCGTCTCGTCCGTCCAGTGCACCTCCATTTGATCGGATGCCATTGCAGCCCGTTTGTGGCATCCGTGGGTGGAAGGAACAACGAATGGTAAACGAAACAAAAGGTCACGGTCGACTTCATTCATAATGTTTCAAGCGTCAGGAGGGCTAGCGCATCTTTACTCTTGGCCGATCCAGTCGGTAAAGCGCTGCGCATGATACGCAGCCGACAGCGCTCCGAGGGACGCGACTGTCACTGGAAGCGGCTTTTTGCTGCGCATCGCACGCGCCCCCATGCTGCCCATTGTGATCGTGGACGCGAGCAGAGCCAAGCCGTGGCCATTCACCATCTCGCCCTTTTGCAGAAGATACCCAGCCATGCCGAAGCTCGCACCAAGCGTCAAGCCTGCCACCAGCGATGGAACACTCTTGGTCTTGAGGTAGCCGAAGACGCCGCCGCTTGCTAGTAGCGCAGCCATCGTGTACGTGGGGTGCTGCGCCATTGTTCGTGTCTTCGGAACGTGCTGCGGATAAGGAAAATGAGGTGTACCACCCGAAAGTACGATAGTTGTACGAAGGACGGAATGTCTTGCGATGAGTGTCGGTAGGATTATACCAATCAACGGCGACGAAGTCGAACATTCAGCGAAACTCCTCCGTCCACTGCATTTCTTCGACGTCGGTTCGATCCTGACTTCCGGACAATCAAAGCTTTACAGCTACCGCTTTCTATGCATTCAAGCGAGTAAAATTGGTGCAAAGCAAGCAGTCGTGCTTCGTGTAGCCGACGGCCCTTTGATTCTCTCGCTCTCTTTCTGCAACGTGCGCTGTTGCAAGAACTCACGACTTTTACGAAAGCAATTCCAAGCCACATCATGGCTTCGGTATCAAAAGGTCAGACTCTCTCCGATCTGACAGCGAGTATGGCGTATTCGTTTGTCATCAAGACGAACTTGTGCTTGTCACTCCTCGCAGTGTTCTGCGCGATACGAGTACATCGACTCATTTCAGGAGAAATGAAAGTTCTTGTGATCTCGTAAAACTGTCAAAAGATTCGTTTACGACCATATCCATTGCCGACGCGATTCGTGCATTCGTTGCGGTAAGCATGCACTTGGGTTACGAGCTAGTGCTCGAGCGTACATAGACAGCGTTCGAAGACTTGGCCGTCCATTTTCGTGCGTCAAGAGATACTGGCACTTCGGGAATGGCACGAGTCTAGGAAAGTAGTACTCGGAAAAGGACTGCAAGTTGGCAGCTCACTTCGCACTACACTTTTCATTGTCCGACTTTACAGTTCCTAGGGCACGGATCGCCTCATCCACGTGCTACTACTAGAGAGACGATAAGACTCTGCTAACGATGACGTAGCTGTAGAACGACTCGACGACGAAGCGGATACATGAACCCCTCTCACCTATCGCCGCGACGTTTATCCATTTTCGACGACGTTCCTGACGGAACAGACTGCTGTCATCTATCAGCTCAACTGTCACCACGTGGCCCATCTTTACGCTCCTCGAGGAATTCGGACTCGGTCTCGATCTTGCAATCAAGTGCAGTCCAGCGCCACGGACCCATCACGAGTCTCGTGTAGTTGTGTTCAATCAATCCTATCGGCACCACCAACTGCCACGCAGCTCCTGGCGACTGTTGATCAGTTCTGTAGTGAGTGCAAGAAAGCCCACGTACTGCTCCCCCACACGCACTGCGTTCCTGCCAGAAATACACGCGACTTCAACGCGCGACGTCTGACAAGTCCACGAACTTCTACATGACCCACGAAAAAACAAAGACTCGGTAGCAGATACACTCATTCATGCAGTTATTGACACAGCTACACGTGCACGTTCAGCAACCGCTCCGTCCATCAATCGGCCGCTCCATCGCACGTCCTTCTTCTCAACTGTAGCGGCTCGGAACCGGTGGCGCGCCTGGGACGTAGCGCATCTTGCGGGGCGGGTGGCACAGCTGGTGCGCGTGGTATCCTGCCGCCATAGCGCCTGCTGTAGCCATCAAAGCTGGAGCGCGTCTGCCCGTGAGCGCGGCGCGCCTGCCCATGACACTGGTGATAATGCCCGACATGGCCAGCGACGTGCTGTGGTCAAAGTGGTGGTCCGAGATCGTGTCCGTGAGTACGAGCATACCGGCGCCCAAGAACCCGACGCCCAGCAGCACACCGGCCACGAGAGACGGCGTGTGGCGCTTGAGCACGTACCCCGCGCCGCCGGCGAGACTCACGACCGTGGCAAACGTGAACGCTTGGTGCTGTCCGGCTGGCATGTTGTCTTGTGCAAGAGGCAGTTGGTGACGTCGTAGTGGCTGTTGTTGTTGATCGTGTTTGTAGTGGGTGTAGTAGTGTCTGCTTCGTGACGTTTTCGAAAGTGGGGACGCCGGAACGGGGTACGAAGAGGGCGGTGCAGCTGAGACACGCCGTGCCGGTCGCGCGTCCCATTCAACAATACGTCAGATGGGCTCCCCATCGGATTCGCCACTGGTCTTTCTTTGCACGCCTCGTCGTCGTCTGTTTGTTGGTTGGTTGGCTCGCAGTCGCTGCCTGCAGTCGCGTCTCTACTTGGCGCGCATAATGTGGCGCAGCTCCACGCCAAGAATGTCCGTGACCTTGAGCTGCATCTTGGCCATCTCCTGGCACGCACACACTTCTTCCACTTCCGGCAAAAAGCGGCAACAGGCAGCAGCTGTGTCAAAGTGCTCGAACGCTTCGCGCGTGCGACCCTGGGCAAAGAGTACTTGGGCAATGTCCAGATGCGCTGAACTGCAGCGGGGATCGACTCGGAGCGCTTGCTGGAAGTGTGCGATCGCGCGCAGGGGGTCGTTCGTGCTCACGTAGACGCGACCAGCGTTCAGGAACGGCAGTGGACACTGCGGGGACAGCTCCCAAGCAGTCAAAAAGTGGCGCATGGCGTCGGCATAGTTCCCTTGATCCGCCAGCACTTCACCGTAAAAGAGATGCACTTCGGCCGAGGCCGGGAACTTGTCGGAGGCTTCTTTGAACAGGTCCTTGGCTTGGTACGTCGATCCGCTCTTGTAGAGAGCCATGCCGTAGGACACGTACGTGACCGGCAGGGCGTCCGACCGTGAGATACAGCGACGAAGATACTGTACCGCTTCTTTGTAATTGCCGTCGAGGAGCTTCATTTGTCCATAGTGCAGATGCACGTCTGCTTCATTCGCGTCTAGATCCATGGCCTTGGTAAAGCACAACGTCGCCTCACCTACCTCGCCAAGTTCTGCTAAGAACCCGCCCTTTTTCACCAGAGAGTTGACCAAAGTCGGCTGCAGCTCCAGGCTTTGGTCAATAGCCTCCAGGGCAGTGTGCACGTCGCCCGCAACGTACAACAGAGACGCGTGCAAGTTCAATGCCGTCGCTCGCTCTTCCACCGACAATCCTTCGGCCTCCATGTCTCGAGAAACCAACGCACAAATGTCGCGCTGGACGAGTGTGAACTGCTGACACCGCTTCAGGTGAATCGCACGGTGCAATAGCGTGCGTCCGTCTAGATCTGCTTGCTCCACGTCTTCCTTCTTCCCAATATCGAACGGTATACGCGCAGCGTGATCAACGTCGTGTTCGAAGGACTCAAAGTAGCTGTTCACCAGCCACGGAGATGGCAGGTTGTGCACTTTTTCCATACCGGCAAACAGATCCTTTGCCACGCGTCGACCGACGAGACGCGACACGCGGTCAATCGACTCGGCGAGCTCGGGCGAGCGTGAGCCATCGAGAATAAAGGACGTCACATAGTGCTGCATTGCTGCTTCAATGTGCCCGGTCTCTTCCTCAGCAATGCCCAGACATTCGTAGGCGCTGACACTGTATGGGTTCAACCTCAAGGCGATCTGCGCCTGCGTCTTTGCACAAGCCCACGCTTTCATATCGAGGAAGGACCTGGCCCGTCCGACCACAGCGTTCTCAAGCTCTTTGTGGTACAACGGCAGGTAAGTGAAGGCCTTGGAGTATGCCTCGAGAGCAGCTTGGTAGTTTCCTGACCTTCTGCGGATGTCGCCACCCAGCACTGCTTCACGAACGCCTGCTAGCTTGTCAGCCAGAGAATCATCTGACTTCAGTGGACGAGTGAGGAAGTGCTTGAGCACATACAGGGACTTTTCCGCTTTCGCTACACGATCGGTCAGCTGCTCCCGCTTGTCGCTGTTGAGCGTCTCGCATAAAGCTTGAAACTCGATCTGACTAAGTCCCTCGATTTCATTCTTGATAACATCCCACGAGGCTTCGGCGATAGCCTGGATGAGCGACTTGATCTGCAACGTACTCAGCTTCTTGTGAGACGTGTCTACGTTTCGCGGGATGAAACCAAGCGAGTACACAACACTTGGATACATGTGCTTCCAGCTCTCTGCAAGTCTGTGTTCTATAGGTCCGGACTGTTCCCCGCCAGACAGACTTTTGGCCGTCTCACTATCATCAGCTCCTGAGTCAGGGATCTCCACCCCGTTCACGCCGACATCGTCTTCGCCAGCTGGCAGATCTTCTATCTCGACCAAGATGTGGTCGTCAGTGACATGCTGCGCGATAACCGTATCGTCGTCCGCACTATGTTCGCCTTCTTTGCTTGCAAGCTCGCGTCCAGGCACAGCTCCTTCTTCTTCGGTGATGGTCTCCGTCTTGTTAGCACCATCTGCACCTTCCTCAGCTACCCTTTCCTGCTTGTCTGTATCTTCGCTAGCTGTGTCGTCTTCAGAGTAGGCTTCGCTGTCTTTGCACAACTCGTCCATCTCTTCTTCATTCAGCTCCTCCTCATCAAGACTGTTCACTCCCCGAACGTTACCTCGGGGTTTGAGATCTTCTTCGTCACTGGACTCACCTTCCTCACCTTCGTCCACACTGTCGCAGACCCAAGGTGTACGCTGACCAACTACATCGCGCATCTTCTGGTCTAATCTGGTTGCAAGATTGAGGACATGTTCCTCGCTAACGTCGGGTATTTCTACCACGGTCGGCGGAGTGTATAAGACGTCCCACAGTTCATTGATAGCCTTCAGCTGCTCCGAGCATTCGCTATCATGCTTCTTTTCCACCCACTTGTGCACGCTCATTGCCATCGAGCCTTCATTGATTTCTTTCTGCTGGTAGACGAGATCAGAACATACCTCGACCACATCTTGGAAAAGGGACCCGCACTGTGTCTTAACCTCTTGCAATGAGCGCTTTCTGCGTAGCGACGCAGGAAAACCGAATGGCGCCAGCACAAAGGATGCCACACGAAAGATCGTTCGTGACGCATCCAAGAACTCGTTTCTGCTGACAGGATGTGGCATGTCGAAAAATCGGTGTCCATCCTGAATCCACACGACGTCCGCCACCTTCTCTTCCTCTTCTTCTCCAGCAGCACCTTTGCGCTCTTTTCCCGCCTTTTCGCTCAGTTTTTCTGTGTAGGCTTTTTCGAGTTCCGCTACCGCTGTTGTGTCAATATCCTTCGTCGTGCATGCATCATTTTGCTGTGACGAGAGATCAAATTCACCCTTTGCGTCTTTGTACAGCAATCGGCCTTCGTGGAAAATATCTGACGTGTATGAAGCAGGAAAAGATGCCACCAGATCGTCAGTCAAGGCGTCATCGCAAAACGCGATCCAAGCGCGTTGTCCTGCAACCAACAATGCAGTCGCAACGGCAGCAGCTTCGGCCGGCACGCTTGCTACAACTGCAACGGGGTTTTCCACATCGATGCCATTTGTCATGAACACATTTCGCAGCTCGTCTGCAGGCAGTAGAAGCAATCTCTCCTCAGACTTTTCGCCCGTGCAACCTGTAGCGTTCTCTTTCTCCTCCGCACGATCGCTCTGTGCGGTAAAAATGCATGCAAACGGCACATTCTTTGCACCCTTGAGGTGTCCAGACACCTCTTTGCCGCTATCGAGGCCAAGGAACGCTCTCTGCTCCCTGCAATCCAAAATTTGCACCTTCTCATCGGTCTCTTGCTGCAGAACCTCCTTGACAAATGCAGCAGCATCTATCACTCTCACAGCACCAGCTTCGAGTGCCGTCCCACCACAGTTCAGCAGCTCGAAGAGCGGACAGTATGTGCCTGTCACCGGGTCACGTACCGAGACTAATGCACTGCTCTCCTCGGCCACTTGGAGCTTCCAATACAGCAGACAGGCGACTGCCAGCTGCTGCTTCGTGTCTGCAAACCCATAGATGCTACAGGTCTTTGCTCCTTCAGTGTGCGACACGGCGGCGAGACCACAGACCGCTGCGACGTGCTGCACACACGATTCGCCACCAGGAGAGACGCCCAGTTCGTCCCCCGAGACGCGCACGGAGAGCTGTTCGGGCCTCGTGTCCATGTAAACAAGAGGATCGACGCGACGGGATCAAGCAGATGCACCTGGAGCGTATCACGTAGTCAGTGGCTGCAGCAGTTGGGCCTTCGAGCGCTTGCACCGTTCGCGTCGCTACCAATAGATGTCGTCGTCAACAGCAGCGAACCAAATGGCTTCGCGAAATGTGTGTTGATGGTGTGCACCACATAAACGCCCGCGTCACACGTGAAGAACAAGCGATCAAACGGTGGGAAGATATGCTCTACTCGTTCTACATCTACACGCGCAGTGGGTCGTGTTTGTACCAGGAAAAGTGGAACGTAGCGGGCACGAAGCGCGTGACGTACGCGGACCCGAACGAAGAGAAGCGGCTGCTCTTCGGTCTCCTCTTTTCGCTCAAGGAGTTTGTCGCAAAGGTCGCGCCCACGACTGCCAGCGCCGCAGACACTGCAGTGCCCGAAGCAGCGAGTGCACCGCCCGACGGTATGCAGCGGTACCAGACGAACACGTACACGTGCCATCAGTACGAGACGCCGAGCGGTCTTCGATTTGTCATGATGACGGACAACCGGGCGGGGGACATGGGCGCGACGCTCCGGTATATCTACGCACAGATCTACGTCGAGACGGTGGCGAGCAACCCACTGAGTGATACGAAGAGCGGCAAACCGATCACGAGTCAATTGTTTCGGACACGACTGACGCAGTATCTTGAGAGTCAACCGTTCTTCAGGTAGGCGAGTTCCTGGTCGACGTTAGCAGCGAAAGAAAGAGTAGATTGGAATGGTAATGGTAAGCGTGGAAACGCACGACCGGTGTGCGTGGTCAAAGAAGCTGTGTATCTGTCTGTGAGAGCTTTTTGTTCCGGGAAAAGTGGGCTCTGATGTCACTCCTCGTGGGTATTACGACGCGGCGGGAGAATAGCCGAAAGCTCGAGGGCAACTGATCGAGCTTATGTGTGTGTCCGAAAGCTGGACGATGCTGACAGTGTTGACAAGATAAGGTCACGACGTGGCTGGTTATGTGAAAGCAAATGTCGATGGGTTGAGCCAGAATCCGTCGTTTCCTCGTGTGCAGGTGCTGAACGAAGAGATCGGTGATGAACGGTGGCGTTTTGTCGCCATCGAGACCAAAGCAAAGTCCGCGCAAAGACCCAGAGGAGACCATAGCAAGGACCAGACCGTTTGAACGCGCGGTAATTCGCAGGCCTCCTCGTGAAAATGACCGCAAGATTTACGTGCTGGCCCAGAGAAGCGCATGCGTCGAATTGACAAGCACTGTTTTGCAATACAGCACTGCTTTGCAGGTCGACACGACATGCTATTGTTTCTAGCTACTTAGTTGCCACACATGACGTGCCGCCGGCCGAAATGTACTGCAGCATTATACTGTAGTGGCATCGGGCCTGTGCTTGGCCTCATTGTTCGATCCATACCCGTTTCCAGCGCGTATAACACGACTCGTATCGAAATTGAGACTATCGCTGCAGTGCTTCGAGAGCACGTAAAAGTCGCGCTGTCGTGAGTCAAAGTGATCGTGAAGAAATGGAGGCGATACGATCGTGCACTTTCCGAGCGACGTCCACACTCACGGCAACAAACAAGTCAGAGTACCATCCATCGATGTTGGGACTGTTGCAGCAGCGATCATGGCTATGTAGCTGGTCCAGTGATGGGAAAGTAGCATCTGTCGAGGTGAGTACGCGACCGCTCAGCATCAGAACAAAGGGTTGATCCGAGGCAGCGACATTGCTTACGTTTGCCATTGTAAAGGTGCATCCGGTAGCGATACGGCAGCGCACACCGACATATAGAAACAGTGGATTTGCACCTTGATGATGTCGTATGTAATCGCTGTGTGGACGATTCCACGCGGCCAGGACCGTATCGACATGCAAACGATTTCGATGGCTCAACAAACAACACACGTGCGCGTCGTTACAAAGTATCAGCAGGCAGACAGGAGGCCGTCCAGTGCAGTTTATCTCATGCCCCGCAGCTTCTGACGGTGCCATCTCAGTCAATGCAACAAGCACCGTCAAAGCCGCGCACGAATCTGTCTCACACTGTCACTTTGTGTGCGTTTGTAGTGATGACATACATAAGCTGCCGACAGGGGTTGCTGAGCTCAACTGGATCGGCGCTGGAGTGACTCGTAGTTCTGCGATTGCAGCTTTGTAGCCGTAGCTGTTTTTCGACACGGTGGACTCGTTACCACGATCTCCAACTGATTTTCAGTGATGGAGGATGATGATGAACACATAGCGCACATACAGTAGGCAGCGCGTATAGGCCTCGAGCGTTTTGTGTGCACACCCGCCAGCAGCGCAAATACATGGTGTACTCGCAATGGCTGCGACACAAGCGACGTCTGATCGTCGCTACTCATCAAGGTACGTCTTTCGCTGCGCATTCGCCTCGCGCTAACTGTGGCATGGCTTCTCACTCAGATTTTTGCCGTCACCGTCGGCTTCCGACGTATCCAGCGCCGACACTCCGAAATCCGGAAAATCGACTGCTAAGCAGCGAAATTCCAGGACACACAGCTGCTTGAGACGTGCAGTCGGTCGCAGATTCTGCTCGGTTCACGCAACTGCTCCTCTGGCCGTTTCACTTGCCTCGAAACGACATTTGCTTCGAATCGTTGGCACGAATTCTGTTTTCGACAAGTCCGTCGCAGCTGTCAGTGCGTTGGCCGAGGGCAACGCGGCAGTGCACCCACACTCGCCGGTCTTTCCGCGTGTCGAGTTGGTACGGCGAGTTGCTGTACCGAGAAAATGCTGTCTACGCACAGTGCAGTTGCACAGATGCGTCTCGTTTCTAGTTGCGTACTAGCGCAAACATATACCAAACGATCTGCGAAAGAGTACAACGATACGCATTCTACCAATTGCTCTGCGCAATTCCTACGTCAAATATGGTATCCATGTGGCCACCGCAGGCATCAAGGAAAATGTTTGGCTTTCGCTGTTCGTGTTCTTGCAGTACGAAAGTCAAGCACATGTGTGTGTTTCTTACATCCGATAAGATCCGCTCGCGTGTTTTACTTCCTTGGCACAGAAAATTCTTTGCCGTATCCGCTGAAAATACAGACGGAGTAGTACTCACCATCATCAGTCGGCTGGACGTTGCAGCTAGAGAGCGGCACAATATCCAGCGCTACTTTTGGAAGACGTGGCACTCAAACAACGCTCACCTGTCTGGCGAACGAAGAAACCAGAGCTCACGTCAACATTTGGTTTACTAGATATCGCCACATGTCTCGCCTCCCCAGGCGTTTGGTGGACGCTTGTCGGCCGTCCCAACGTTACCTGCACCTGCGATATCCGTATGTCGCAGTCGAGTCCTCTGTCGTTGCACTCGGAATCCCTTCTTCATTCCCACATTTGCAATCAAACGCCCACACTGCAACCAAACACCGACACCTTTTGTTGACACTTGACCGAGTGCCCCCACCAACAATGAACCGCCTCTTCTTCTCGTGCGTTGCCCTCGCGACGCTGTCGTCCGTGTCGCTCGGTCAAAACGAAACAATCGCAGCGGTGAAAGACGACGTGAAGTCTGCGGCGGATGCCACTGGCAATTGGGTCAGTGGGGCAGCCAATACGATTGCCAATGCGACTTCGCCCAGCGTCGAAGCGACCGGCAACTGGATCCGCGAGGCAGCCAATACGGTCAAGAACGACACGAAAGAAGCGGCAAACGCAACGGGCAGCTGGGTCGGCGACGCTGCTGCCGCTGTGAAGAAGGAGGCCGACCCAGCGATGGATTACGCCGGCAGTAAGCTGCACGATGCAAAGGAAGCGATCGGCTCAGCGGCTGACGAGTTTCCCAGCATTGTCGAAGACGACGACGACCTGTCGGGTCGCTCTGCCTCGAGAGACGACGGCAATCGCACCGTCTCGTTCGCCACTTCATCCGCCGCGTTGTCGATGGTCATTGGCGCTATTGCCACCGCTGCGGCTCTGACTACGAACTTGCTGTAGGATGGGCTTTGATGCCCCGATGCGCCGTGTAGCAGCGAGTCGCTTGTCGCATGCCACACACAGCTAATGCTTTTGATACAATACATTGACTTTCACCTATTAACTGAGACGAGAGAATTTGTCTGGCCAATTATTTTGAGGTATTTCGAATTGAAATGAATTGTCTAGTCGTCGCTCATGCCCTTTGCAGCAACTTACCGGGCTGGACACGATCCTGGACGGTGATTGGTCACAATTGCAGCCACCACGTCAAGATGCCACCCGCGGTTTGCAAATGTGGCAGAGCTTCTGGTGTTCTCCGGCTCGTCGTAGCGGCGTGCGGCGCCTGTTGACCGGCAGGGCGAGCGCTCGCACACGACGAGGCGCAGGAGGCTCTGTATCAGCCGCTTACGCTGCCGCTGGTGCCGGTCTGGCGGTCGCAGTATCCATTGGCTGCGTAGAGCAACGTGAGTTCCTGCGACGTGATGGTAGACATTTGGCCTTTGTTTCTGACGTTTGTGCGGGCGCATTATGTGGGAGCTACAGCGAAGACGGCGAGATTGGAAGCACATCCAGTAGCGAAGAACGTACTGACTCGGAACTTTATTGCTGATGCCGTGGAGAAAGCGTTCCCAGCTGTCGTCAACATTTCTGTGGACTCAGGTACATCTGGCCATCCAGTGTTTGCTCAATCGATACCGGTGACTGTTCTGTACATATATGTGACACTGATACTGCGCGTTTGGACGATGTGGGATGCAGGCTATGTTGGAAGCAATGGCTCAGGATTCATGATCACGAAGGAAGGGCTGATTGTAACAAACGCCCACGTTGTTGCACGATGCAATCGTTATTCTAACATCAAGGTACGCTACTGCATCTACACGCTCTTTTCGATATCCTGCGCTCAAAGCAACCATGCTAATTGCCATACTCGGAAGGTGACGGTTGCGAACGGCAGCACCTATCCTGCTGTGATTCACAGCGCTGATCCTCTCTCAGACATCGCGCTGCTCCAGATCAAGTCGGACGAAGTTGAGGAGTGGCCTATGATTTCGATCGGATCATCGACTGAGCTGCGCGCGGGAGAGTGGGTGTGCGCTCTCGGGAGTCCATTTTCCTTGCAAAATAGCGTCAGCGCTGGCATCATTAGTGCTGTTGCTCGCCACAGCAGTGAGCTGGGGTACCCGCAGAAAGGAGGCGAGTACATCCAGACGGATGCGGCCATCAATGCTGGTAATTCTGGCGGCCCGCTTATCAATTTGGATGGCGAGGTGATTGGTATCAACACTATGAAAGTCGATGGCAGCGTGGGCATTTCTTTCGCCATCCCGGCCGACACAGCAGTGCAAGTGATCCAGCAGCTGCGCAAGCACAAGAAAGTCGTGCGCCCGTACATTGGCATGCAAATGATCAACTTTAACTCCCGAGAACTGAAAGAGATCGGCCGGATGTTTCCAGGCGTGAAGGGAGGTGTGATCGTCAAATCGGTCGTCCCCGGTTCGCCTGCCCACAAAGGAGGCTTACTGCCTGGTGACGTGATTGTCTCGTTCGACGGGAAGAAGGTGTTTAGCACCAAGGACATTTTGACCACGGTGGGCTATATCATCGGGCGTCACATCCCTGTACAGGTGAGGCGCCATGGGCAACAGAACCTCGTCGACCTGCAGGTGACGACGGAACCTCTGCCCGCTCCAATGCAGCAGTTTAGGGGCTAGAGAAACTGGCTTTGACTAAGAGCTAGCGGTCGCTTGAAGAAGAAGAAAGGTCTGTGTTGGTTTGGACAAGCGTAAAAAGGCTTGGCCACGCGTAAACATAGTGTTGATGCCGATAGGCAGGTGCGAGTATGAAGCTAGACCGTAAACCCGCGACAGCTGAACTACATGGAGAAGACGGAGTTGAGTGCAGACCGACTTGTTAGGCAAGACGCAGCTTGTCGATTATCGCAATCACGACTTCGAGAAACTACATCCGTGTCATCTGCAACACTTAAAAAGGTACGAATGAGCAATTCGGCTGCTCGGCATAGATGACACGTACAAAACGAAGAAGTAGCGTAAGATGTAGAAGCGTTGCAGTTGCCACTGTAAGCCAAGTATTCTGTATGACACCTTTGGTGAACTTTTCAACATTTGCATGAGAAGAAACAAAAATTCGATCTGCGCAAACTGGACAAAAAGCTGCTTTTTTGAGAAATCGACTTTTCCTCACACGTTGTCGGTCGCATGATTTGCAAGAATTGCTGCTCCAGCTCAACCTAAAACGCATCAAGTAAAAGTAGGTGAGACGATTTGCTGTAGTTACGCCATGGCAAACCTCACCGCGAAACGCAAACTTCAGTTTCTTTCTCGATCGCCAGTTGCAATCCGCGGCACAAAATCGATGAGTTGAGGCGCATGATCTGCGTTGGCGATACTGTGCTTTTTGACCGGCGGCAGCTGAACTCGCACCGAGGAACAAACAAGAAAAGAATGGGTAGCATGCGGCGTTCTATATGTACCAAAATTGGCTTATTCAGGTGACTTGCCTCGCACTTGCAGCAAACAAGCTGTAGTCAGTCTCGTCGGCACCCTCAAGGCGGAACAAAGTGCCAGGCAGCAACATAGATATCGTCATGGTGATTTCGCTGAAGAACGCGATACGGTCAGCGTGGAGCAATCACGGGTCATGAGCTCCAGGTCGTTTCGTCGATGATAGCTGTGTCAGCTATATATGCGTAGTATAGGCAGTGTCGGATCGATCGTCAAGCCGTGCTTGGACTGCTGTTGCACCGCATCGTTTTCAGCCCTCACGCGTCCTCATTTTTGAGCGCAACGAGAGCAGAAAAGCTTAGCGTAAAAAGCACGGCCTCGGTGCTCGATCAGCAGGTGTCGAACTATGGCTGATAGAACTTTGTCTGCGTCAGATGACTGCACCTCTACTTGAAGTCCAGGAAGAGCCCCATAAAAGCTCGGAGCACAAGTATCTGTGTTCTCAAACAGGTCGAATGCATGTGAAAGCAGCCGCTGGTCTGTCGCACGTCAAGCTATAGCCAGCTTCTGCTCCATCCTACAATTCATTCCTGAACCTGAATCGACGACGACAAACCGCAACAGTTAAAACGGTGTGACCTTTGTCTCGAAAAGCTGTTTCAACACAAACCCACACTCACTTTTCACGCGCTTTTTCTCCACCGACCGACTCCCATTGTTTCTTTTGCAGCAGTACTCGGTCCACAATGGCCGATCCTCAGCCCGTGAAGGTGCCGCCAGTGTTTAAGCCGCTGCTGCCGTTCATCCGGCGCGCTGAAGAGCTGGACCGAGACACGTCGCGTCCAGAGTCCAAGTTGATCGCGTACTACTGCCGGCAGTACGCCATGGAGCTCGGCATTAAGCTGCGCGAGCACGACGCGTCGAACGAAGCGACGGACTATCTGTTGTCGCTGATGGACCGCCTCGAGGGCGAGAAGGACAAGTTGCCGGAGTTCACACAGGAAGAAGGACAGGTCCGTGAGGCGCTGTATACTGGTTATGCTGTCGCCACTGGGCGTTCGTGCGACGATGGGACGTAAACAAACGCACTGTGTCTATGGAACTGCATGATAGGTCATCTGCGAGGACTTTGCACTGGAAATCTTCGCCAAAGCAGACGATGAAGACCGCGCAGGCATTGCAAACAAGTAGGTGGCTGTCTTTTGGCTATCGGCAGTCGTCGGCGCTGGATTGCCTGTGAAGTGTGTGGGGTGAGTATCGTCGTCACGGCATTGTGCGCGTGTGTGCTGCACGTTTGCTGTTCCAGGAGCACTGCTCGCACATTTTATGCCGCCGGCACGTTTTTCGACATTCTGAACCAGTTTGGCGACGCGTCGGACGATGTACGCGAACGAGACGACAGATGGACTGGTTGCAGGTGACGGTTGTTGACACGGCATTGCGGGGACTCTGCTGTTTTTACTCGTGCTTTCAGGTGGTGGAAAAACGACGCTATTGCAAGTACAAGGCAGCTATGATCTTGAAAGCGATCAAGGAAGGAAAGACACCGGCACCTGGCCCCCCGAGCGAAACGGATATGAAAAATGTACGTGCATGTAGCATGAGTGTGTCGGTGTCGGTGTTGCGAACTCACTTGTGTGCGCACAGGCCGACGAAGGAAATGAGAGTATGATGTCAGCTGCAACAGCCTTGTCGTCAGTGTCGCAACCACCGGTTTCGTCAACCATGCCGACCTCTAGTCCGCCGCGAACGCAAACATCGGAGTCCACGCGACCTAACTCTCCGCCACCGCAGTCGTCCGCGTCCACGACACCCGATTCTCCGCCACCGCAGCCTTTGAGGTCCTTTCCGGTGCGAACCGACTCGATGAGATCTGCTGGTGCGATGAGTGCTAGCGAACTCGATGGACTTTGGCACGGGCCTTCTTCTGATCAACAGCCGATTCCGTCTTCGGCCCCATACCACTCGGCGCCAGCTCCGACACTTCCAGCGCTGACGTCAGCGCACCAGATTCCGCCAGCCCCGACGTCTGAGTACCGACCCCCTGCTGCTTCTGCGACGTCAGCACACCAGGCTCCGTCTACCCCGAATTCTGCGTATCGACCGCCTGGTGCTCCAGCGACGTCAGCGTACCAATCACTGTCAACTCCAAGCTCCACATACAAACCTTCGTCTACTCCAGCACCGTCATATGAACCTCGTTTCACGTCTCCACCGCAGCGCCCAGCTGCCGGTGCCCGAAGCACGGCAGTATCGCAAAACGAGATCAACGACGCGGTGGAGTGCGCCAAGTTTGCTATCGCCGCTCTTAAGGTACGCACAATCTGAAGGAGCCATAGTCTCACGCCAAGCTCACCTACTTATTCTCTGGTCTATGTCACACAGGTACAAGACATGAAGCTGGCAGAAGAACGCTTGGAGATGGCGCTGCGCAGTATTAGAGGATCGTGATGTATGATCATTCGCAAACTTCAGAACCCGTGCGCGTTTCTATCGTATCGTCATTTCGGCAGTCGGTGCGTCTACAACCCAGCCACTTCGTCCTTCTTCAATTGGGCCTTCTTGCGGGACGGAAGCGTTGCAAGCGTAGCTTGCGCCCAATCGTTCACTTCTGAGAACTGCGCTAGAATCTCAAAAACTGCAAAGCAGCAAGTCAGCAACTTTGCCGCTCATGGTACTATCGACAATAGCAACGTCAGCGTGGCGTACCGTGGTTGACGGTAAGCACACGCGTGGCAGCACCCATTTCGACGACGGCATCAAGAGGAAGTTTTGCCGTCTCAATGCCTTGCGCGACCGCTTTTTGGTATGTGATCCCCTTCAAGCGGTTGCGATCCACGATGCCACCAATGATATAAACCTTGTCGCGTCGCAGCTTCGTGATGACCGTAGGAGAGTCAGCGGTGAGGTAGACGAGTGACTCTTTCTTGAACAGGTCCATGTAGCTCTCGGACAACCCTGCAAACTGCGCACATTGTCAACACGACATGATCTTAGCATCGAGCCGAACGCAATTTGGTCGAGTGAGCGTATACGATAAGCCGTACCGCCTGCCACTCGTGAAACCCAACAATCTTCTCCAGATTCTTTCGGATGTCACCGTGCAGAGAAGTGATGTATACGCTATGAATGAGCGACACCAATGTTACAACCTCTACTTGGTGACACGCGGTGTCAACAGGATCAACCACGTACCTCATCGGCGCCCTGCTGCGACGATTGACTCCATATGAAAACCTGTGCACAGTGTCAGCAATCAGTGATACACTATAATGAGCTTCGCTCACAAGTTCGTTCGCGTCCAACGCGCAGGACGCACATGATCTGCTGCGACAGACTTTTCTTCTCCTTTTCCGTCAGCTTTTCCTCAAACTCGCAGTCAATGACCACGTTGATCCCCTCCTCGGCAGCCATCAAATGGTTCTCCCGCTTGGCCATTGTGCGTTCCTTGCGGCGAAGCACAGCCTCGTCGCTCATGTCGAGCGCCTTTGGCAGCGCTACGAGTCCACTGGTCAGCTTGTCGCGCTGCTGTCTCTGACGCTTGAGCTTCTTCTCGATCTTGCGCTCTTCCCACTGCACGCGCCGCTTCTCCCTTCGCATTGCGCGCTTCGACGCGCATTTCTCGTCGCCATCGGCAGCGACCACAGGGGCCGTGTCAAGCTCAGTGGACGGACCACTCTCGACAGTCTCCGATCCGTCGGGCATGTTCGTGACGGAAGATGTGTCGCGTGGTCCACCAAATGTTCTGCACTTGGTTCCACTATGCCTTCATCCGTACGGGAGTTTTGGTCCGACGACGACGACCCGCTTCGTGGTCAAATCATCCATGCGGTCAACGACGCGAAAAACACGGCTTAAATCAGTACAACCGTTTCTTCTGCGAATCAAAAGTCGCTGTCCCTCGGAAAACGTTGGTTGCTCGTTCAGGACATCGCCCTTTGCAATGGCTGTGGACCTACGCTACCGCATGGGTTGAAGTCGAAAGTCTCGGAACCCACTCAGTGGATAAAATCCAAACTCGCGCACAACGGGAGACGCGACCATGTCGAGTGTCGCGGACGCACTGCTCAAGAGCGCAGTGGGAAGCGCTGGCTTCGTCGCGAGCGCCTATACGCTCACCAAGTTCATCGTGGCCACGCCTGTGGTACGTACCCATTGCATTGTGCGCTGGATGCACGCAGGTCGACCCGATCACTTACCGTTTGACACTGAGATCGCTTTGGTTTGGTAGAAAATCGCGCCGCGGGGCGAGAACGAGCACGATATGGACGTGATCCTGTGCTTTGACACGAAAACGTACTCGCAGGACGCTGTGGCCTTTTTCGTGCAGATGGTCGAGAAGCAAAGTCACCTGCTGATTGTCCCCAAGGCCAAGAACGTGCTGGAGGAGCAGGAAGCGGCAGACGACGACAAGAGCGGCAGCGCTGGGCTGGACGAAACGTACTACTTGGTGGGAGCGACGCACGAGACACTGGTGGCGATCAAGGAGAAGAAGGAGCGCGCGCTCTACGGCGAGGTTAGCGAAGAGCCCGTGCCGGAACGTTTCTGTTCGGGAGACCGCATTGATCTCCTCATGTTTGAGCTGGAGCGGCTGAAAGTGCGGTCTGACTACTGGCGTCAAACTGGAGGCTGTGCAGCCGAAAAAGTGGCCGATGATGCTGTAAGTGAGGTACCTGAGCCGTGGCAAGATGAAGAGCATGGCCGACTTCTGCAGCAGGCGATGCACTCGAAATTGTTGACAGACCATTTCCCATTGCATGACGACAAGGAACGCAGCGAGTTGGTCGATCGGTGGGTGAAAAAGTGGACGAAGCCTCAACCAGTCAATACTGTGCGCTCGTACTTCGGAGAGGAAGTGGGGTTTTACTTTGCGTTCCTCGGAATGTACACGCAGTGGCTCATGCCGCTAGCAGCGATTGGTTCAATCACGTTTGTGGTTGATTTTTTTCCGAGTTGGGCTGTCTATGGCCGTGGATTATATTCGCTCTTGGTGACGAGCTGGGCGACAGCTTTCCTGAAGTTCTGGAAGCGTCGCGAGAGCACGTTGCGCAATGAGTGGGGCATTTCTGCATCCGACTCGATGGCTTTGGAACTCACTCGTACCGAGTTCTTTGGCGAGAAGCGCTATGATCCGGTCGAAGGGTGCTACTACACCTACTTTCCACTCAAGGATCGTGCGAAACGTTACGTCGTGACGGCGTGCGCGACAATGGCTGCGATGATTGTGGTCACCTTTCTCATGGTGCTTTATTGCTGGATGGATGAATGGTTTTCGGTTGCCTTTGTGCCTGCTACAGGCTGGAGTGGCTTGTACGAATACGTGTGTCTTGTGCCTTCGGTCACGTACTCGATCGTAGTGCTGTATCTTGATGCGACATACTCCAAGTTTGCGTCCAGGTTGACGCAGTTCGAAAACCACCGCACCGAAAATGATGTGAGGACGGCCCTTGTTTTGTGTTGTGCATGTAGACTATGTCACTGACTGTGCTTTTTCTACTGTAGTTTGCGAACGCGCGTGTGCTGAAGCTGGCGCTGTTTTACTTCGTAAACAACTTTGGCTTTCTATTCTACGTGGCGTTCAAGACGCGCAACATGGTCCTACTGGAGCAAACGCTGAGCTCCTTGCTGATCACGCGGCAGCTTCTGGGTAACGTGCAAGAACAGCTGATGCCGTACATGAGCAAGAGGTCGTCGCTCAAGGCCGAAGCTGGGAAGCTGGCGAAAGAAAAGAATGACACGAAGACCGTTTTCAACAAGATTGATGCAGAGCTGCTGTTCCCGACGTATGACGGAACCTTTGACGATTACTTGGAGATGTTTGTGCAGTTCGGGTACGTATACTATCGTTTCCGTAGTACAATTGATTTGTCTATCATTCCTCGCTGACTCTTACACGTGTATGTCATGCAATGATGCGGCGCTTCAGCCAAGTTACCCTGTTCGCAGCGGCGTACCCTCTTGCTTCGCTTTGGAGCTTGTGCAACAACATCATGGAGATTCGAAGCGACGGTTTCAAGCTCTGCATGAGCTTCCGCCGAAGCCGTCGAACGCCTTCGCAAGGCATTGGCACATGGTACTACGCGTTCAGTGCGCTGGGGTACTTATCGGTGATGACAAATTGCGCCATTTTCGGGCTGCATTCAGGATTCCTGAACCGACTTATTCCAAAGATCACACCTGCGGGATCACTCGTGGCGATCGTTCTGATGGAACATGCTATGGTAGCTGTAAAAGTATGCGTCGAGATGTTCGTGCCAGACATGACTGCCGCAGTCGTCGAAGCGCATCGCACAAGACGTGCTCGACTCCGCAAGAAGGCCTCGCGTCAAGTCGAACTGTCATCCCACCAGCTATTGCAGTCACTAGGGAGTCTGGACGACGATGAGCACAGTGAAGACGGTTCGTGTGCTGTGCATGAAGCAGCTGCAGTGGTCGACGTGAACGAGTGGCTGAAACGGGAAAAGGAACGTCGACTGAAGCTGGAGCGCGAGGTGAAGAGTTTGAACGAGCTGTACATGGGCTGGATCCGCGAGGAGCAGAAGAAGCGCAAGAGGACCGAGCAGCAGTTGGCTGCACTCATGGACCGCGCCGACGCCGACACGCGTGATGCGACGCCCGTGTCGAAAGAGCGCTAAGGTCGCCTGGAAGAGCGTACCTAAATACCGCGTTGAAAGAGCGCTAAGGTCGCCTGGAAGAGCGTACCTAAATACCACGTTGGGTTTGTTGCGTTTTAGTCTGTTTCGTGGGTGTCGTTGATATTCACTTTCACAGTCGAAAACGACCGGTCGACGTTAGTGACCGTTTTGTATCTAGCGGTTCGCTGGCGCAGTTGCGAACAAACACACGAAAGATGGCGGCGAGTCAGAGCGAACTGGACCGGCAGATCGAGCAGCTGAAGCGCTGCGAGTACCTCAAGGAGTCGGAGGTGAAGGCGCTGTGTCAGAAGGCGCGCGAGATCCTCGTGGACGAGAGCAACGTGCAGCGAATCGACGCGCCCGTGACGGTAAGAAAAGGAGGAGACGTGTTCACTGGCTGCAAGTAATTTAAAAACAAGCGAAATATTGAGTGTTTTTTTTCGTTTTGGTTGTGCTTTTTGCTTTTTCTTCTTGTGTTGTGTGTGGACACAGATTTGCGGTGACATTCATGGCCAGTTCTACGACCTCAAGGAGCTGTTCAACGTGGGGGGAGAGTGCCCAGAGACCAACTACCTGTTCATGGGCGACTTTGTCGACCGCGGCTTTTACAGTGTGGAGACGTTCCTGTTGTTGCTGGCGCTGAAGGTCTGTTGTGCGTTTTGTTGGAGGTGAGGGAGAGGCGATGCAAAGAGGACTGACGCCTGTTGTGGCTGAATTCTCCTGCCGTCAGGTGAGGTACCCGGACCGCATTACGCTGATCCGTGGCAACCACGAGAGTCGTCAGATCACGCAAGTGTACGGTTTCTACGACGAGTGCCTGCGCAAGTACGGCTCGGTGAACGTGTGGCGATACTGCACGGAAATCTTCGATTATTTAAGTTTGTCGGCCATTATCGAGGACAAGATCTTCTGCGTGCACGGCGGTCTGTCTCCATCGATCAACACGCTCGACCAAATTCGAATCATTGACCGGAAGCAGGAAGTCCCACATGATGGTGCAATGTGCGACCTCATGTGGTCCGACCCGGAGGACATTGACGGCTGGGGATTGAGTCCACGCGGTGCTGGGTACTTGTTTGGCGGCGACGTTGTGGAAAAGGTTTGGAATAGCTTGCTCTGTGTCGTTGGACGAATGGGTCAAGGTTTCCTTGTGACGCGATGCGATGCTGCAATGCCGTTGTGATGGTACAGTTTAACCAGACGAACGACCTTCAGCTGATCTGCAGAGCGCATCAGCTCGTGATGGAAGGCCACAAATCCATGTTCAACAACGCGTTGGTGACGGTCTGGTCGGCGCCCAACTACTGTTACAGATGCGGCAACGTTGCCGCTATTCTGGAACTTGATGAGAATTTGGAGCAGCGGTTCAAGGTAAGCGACAAGAAGGCTGTTTCGCTTGTTGTCCGACGCGCCTGTGTATACCAGACGCTAACTACAGCGCGTTCTTTTTTGTTGTTGTGTCTGACTACGACCGCTGCATACAGATCTTTGAAGCCGCACCGCAAGATGCGCGTGGCGTACCTGCAAAGAAGCCGGCTCCGGACTACTTTTTGTAGGGCGATTGGCACACCGACCTCGTCAACGGGCAGGCGTGTGCTGCTTTAGAAGGCGCACTTTCATTCGGTGCGACGGTGGATAGCGTGCGTTGTAGCACTCCAGGAGAGATAATCAACGAATGAGTTGAAGACAAAGAGCCCATGTTGGAGATGAAGAGGGGGGAGGTAACTGCAGCGTGGTGCGGCCAGGAGGAGTTGAAGTATATTTTAGGTTTTGACTTGGCAGCAACGCTTTGAGATATCCCTGTGTTTCCAGATAACCGAAAGCTCTGTGTAGCTGGTACTTCACCGTGGGGTTTCAGTGCGCTGCGAAGAGTAGAGGGAAGAAGTAGGAGGTCGTGCAAGTACCGATTACAAATACTACAGCATCATTGGCGGACTTTAAAGCGCGCGTTGCTGACCTTCATTAGCACTTGTTCAACGCAACTCTACTGCTGTACATAGCGTCGGAAAAAGAAGTCACGCCTCATTTGCAATGGACTGCGTTCTACTGACAAGAGCTGATCCAGTCAGCCTGAGGTTACGTAGGCGTGTCACCAAACGATCTCACTTTTCGGGTAGAAGTCATTGGCTGATTCGACGGATACAGAACTCACACAAAGTATGCCGAAAGAGCGCTTTCTGCCGGTGCTCCTGCTCACAGCTCCAAAGCGAAAGCGTAAGAGTTGTAACGTGTCGCTTCGACGCCAATGGAGTTAGTTCTGCTAACATACAAATCTAGCGTCACTTCGTACTCGTGTGATAAGCCCTCAATATTTTTCGCTCGTCGCCTGGACGTTGAAATTGACTACTGTGCGACTTTTCCAGCGATCGCATGAGCCTTCTTCATTGAACTTTGGTCAACACATTTGGTCGAAAGGAAGGCCTAGGAATCATGAACAAGACTAGGCGTGAACAAGATAAGAATCTCAATCGAACATGCCATTCGCAGCTCACTTATTATGTATCTATCAGTGGGTTCTAGGCCTAACAGTTTGAACAGGAGACCACAGGAGGTGATCATGCAGTACTGGATAGAAAACAGTTGATGTATCTCCAGCGCGTGTACATGTAGTTGGGGCTCATGCGACGAGCAAACGCGACGATGCGAATGGGAGGACACTCGTCGCTCATCTGAGATCACCACGACGGTCTGGAAAGACTGCAATTTTTCCGATAACAGGAGACGACGAGGGAAGTATTCAAGATGCCATTCAGATAGCACCTTTGGTAGCGTTGAGAAAAGCTTCGAGGCGACGTCACTTATGTCTGGACAAGTCGATAAATGGCCGACGCCGCCTAGAGCTCGACATCACGTCGTGCACACATCTACGAGTTTTGTAAGAAGCCGCACCAGACATGGCGCATGGCTCAATGTAAAAAACCCGGGCCACCTGCGATGCTACATCCGCAGTCAACTGCCATGTGTCAACAGCGAGCATAACAGCACACCAAGATTGATCGAAGGCCATTCGTGTGCTAGGCACACGTCAGCGAAAGACTGAGCTGTGGATTCAGGACCAATGGCAGATTTGTTGTGCGAAAATATGCGTAGCTAGTTTTGCACGTGTATGGCTTTTAATGGAAAGAAGGAATGTAGACGAAAATCTTGGTCCATTCCTAAAAAAGAAAAAGGCTTTGTCAAATTGATCCTATAGCTTGAGATGCGGCTGAACCCGTCATTGGAAGACTTGACCAGACAAAAACGACATTGACACGGAGTGTAACGGGGTGAGCCCGTTACACAAAAAATAATACGAATGTATCAATTTTTGAATATCAACTATTTGGATAAATTTTAATCAACATTAATCGAAAAGAGGTAATGTTGACAGAATATCACCCCGAGGGATATATTCGTGGTTGCTCCACTCCTTCGTTGATGTATACGGTACATCAACAAGATTAACCACCAATCGCTGCTGGACGCGCGCAATGGGGGGTGAGCAAGAAACCTACATATGGGATTGTAGTTTAACATATTTATATGAAGACAAAGATGGTTTATTAAAATAGCATCACTACATTAAATACAGCTCTACCTTTTCCCTCAGACAGAGCTTTCAGGTTCTGTTTGCTTCCTCGCGCTTCCTCACGCCACATTTACGTGACGTCAGGAGGACACAGACTTGTGCTCCATTAACACAAGGTCTTACCGATCGTCTGGTAAGAGCGTGTCCCGTTACGCCTGGTAGCACTTGTAGTCCGTCTAACAACCACGACCATCTCACTCAACATGAACATATTACATGAACAGGAAAGCTTTCACGCTACGCGTGAAGACTATAACCATTTGATTTACATCGAATGAAGTGCGGTAGGACATATGAGTTCTACCGTAGGCGAAACCGCCATTATCGCCATGTTGGAGTCTCTTGACAGAGTCCAACAACATGTCGCCGAAAGAGAGAAAGTAGCCTTTCTTGACCAGCAAGACTCTCAACAGACCGAGCAGTCGGGAGAACTCGGTGCTTAACAGACAGAGCTGTGGGAGAAAGCATCAATTCAATGCTGCTGTGGGCGGGACGACACACACGCGTCGTCCCGGAATCTTAAAGGTCGATATCTCCAAGTACAGATGAGTCGAGGAAGACTCCCTGTTTAAATGCTTCGTCGATCTCGACTGAGCCATAACGGCAAGTCGTATCGACGACGAGCAAGTGGAACTCACATTTGCTCAAGCCCACTTGGCAGGACGTGCCAAGACTTGGGCCTTAGGGCTGTAGATGAGCGACCCATATGCTTTTGTGTCGCTGGAAGCTTTCAAAACCCGACTCAAACAATCGCTTGAACCGCCTCGGGATGAGTTCAGGGCTCGATATGAGCTCCTGAAACTCAAGCAGGGTAAGCGCGATGTGCACGCTTATGCTCAGCATATACGACTCCTCGCGAGTAGTATAACTGCTAACTCTGTACACGAACACACATTGATTACTATGTTCATGCAAGGGCTCGAAGATGGTTTCTGCCAGGAACTGTCTGTTCAGATGAGGGTTGAATACGCTTGAATAATTAATCTTAGCAGCGGGACAGGAGGACTTTAGCATGAGACAGGCTCATGATAGATCGAACTCTCATCGTCCACCAGGACGACAAGAGGATAGAGGTACAGAACCAATGTACCCCTCTTACGTTGAGATAGTGTAGTGCCCCTCGCCCAGTGCCAAATTGCACTGATCGAAGCGACCGAACTCTTGCTATAAAGGGAAACGGACTTAGGTCCGACACTGTCGCGAAATAGCAACAGCGAAGCGGACCACAAAAAATGGACGGTGCCTGCAGAGGCGGAGCGCCCTACTGATCTAGCAACATTAAGAGTGCAAATCTCTTGACGAAAATTGCTCTAGGTACACAATCATTTTGTGTCTCTGCACCTGGTGATGAGATATCACTCATCGCCTTGACGTTGGATATGACGAAGGATTTATCACTTCGTGATCCAGTTGACTGTGGGGCGTCGAACAA